TATTCAACATATTTAACTCTGTAATATGGATAATGACCAGTCAGAATAAACAGCCCGTAGAGCCACATTGGTGTGACCTCCTGATTCCAGGGTATGGATATGGGGTACATGTTATCACTATTGGAACTGAGAAAGGATTAAAAATTTGAGCACTGGATGAGTTACTCCCATGAATTTTGAATTTTCTCAGACTTATGATGTGACTTGGGAAAGAAAAGAAAAATCTGATGTCAACATTATCAATGAATGAGAGGCAATTCCCGTCAATATCATTCCAATGTGTTTTGGAGCTGGATAACAGTGATAAAATGAGGAAAAAAGGGTATAGCAAGATGGTCAAAGCCTCAGTGGGCCAGAATGTTAATAGGACAGTGGCAGAACCATAATCCAGAGCAGCACTGGGAAAAAGAGACACATGGACCTCACTTGTCAACCTTGAGATTTGGAAGAATAAGCCACAGTTTGGGAAGATTGCGTGAAACCATGTTCTTTCAGGAAACAGTTATCAGTTAAGACAAGAAACTGGAGGTACTATTAAGAGAGAGGTTGAAGACATGCATAATAGAGTTTGTTTACCCTGGAATGGGCAGATTTTGCAAGGAAAAGAGCAGTGGGAGATTGACTCAGGGAGGAACATAAAGCAATATGGGTACGTACAGACGGGAGGGAGCTAGATTGTTGGAGAAGCTTACATTTTGAGTGGTGACTTTGGATGACCAGGATATAAGGCATAAACCTTGCAGGCTGCAAGGTTTCCAAATAATTCATCCTAGTAGCCTCTCAATGGATAGAGGATGGGGAGGAGAGGAGGTCGGGCCAGCATGGAGGGAGTGAGCCATGGCCTGGAGTGATTGTGCTTCCAAGAAATCCCAGGACAAGTGAGCAGGCTGTCATTGAAATTGGTTCCAGGACTTTGGCCACATGTTGGAATAGCTACAGTCTCTTGTGGGACATATACTTTATCTCATTTTCCTACAGCAGAGGACACCTGCAGTGTGACTTAATTGTGCTAGAGTATAGCATTCTATCCTCAACTAGAAGCCACAAATCCCTTAGAACAGAAATGGAGCAGATATGCATTTAAACTCGCAGGCAAGGATCTGAATTAGTGCATTCTCAGCTTAACATGCTGCATTTTGGGCACCAGGCACAGTGTCGAGTAGCACATTGGTGCTCCATTGACGTTTATTCAACAATCAGCCTTCAATTAATTATTTGCAAAATGATGTGTGTTGCTCTTCAGATTTTATAGTAGAATGGCAGAGTGGACTTAGATAATATCTCAAGTTCTTCCCTGGGGTGAAAAATCAAAGGGCCATGGGGAATGCAGTTCATGGCAGAGCTTGAGTGCAGGAACAAAAGAAATAGTTAACTGAGAGTTATTATAAGCATAACTACACAACAAAATCACTAAGAATACAAAGAAACATGAGATAGCCTGACTTGCTGATGGGCATATTCTGTGTTCCAGTTGTCTGTATGATGTCTTGCATAGATTTAGTCAGTATCTAAACATGTTTGTTGGTGAATCTTTTGTTGCTCAGATTAGCACAAGAAAGTAACAGCAACTACACACTTGTATCAGGCTCAGTTCTGGAAAGAAATGTAATTATGTAGTGTTGTCACAATTTGGCAGACTTAAGGATACCCCAAATGGCACTGGGAATTAGTTTTTCTACACGCCATTGGAACATGCCCTCCGTTCCTCAGCATACCCTGCTATTGCTGCTAAGACCTCACCATCCTACTGGAGGAAAAGTTATGTATTAATTGCTGGTGGTAAAAAGAATTCCTTCCTTCCTTCCATCCATCCTTCCTTCCTCCACTGACAAATGCTTAGTGCTTGCCAGCTTTGTGTTAAGCACTGGGAATAGAGGACTAAGTCCTCCTCTTCCTGCAAGCAGTCTGCAGTGAAATGTGCTACATGCTTGGCTGTGCTGGGGAAGGCTTCCAGGAGATGACATGGGCTTTGGTAAATGAAAAGGAGTTTGGGGAGAAGACTATTCATTAGAAGGAATGATACGTGTGAAGGTCATAAGTGAAGGTAATGACGCAGAAAATGTCATGGTGTCTTCAGGAAAATAATGAGAAGTTAGCTGCCACAGAATCTAGACTGCATGCTGGGTTGAAGGGACCACATTTTGAGGGGCTTAAACTTGATGCTTGATGCTTCATTTTCATCTTTTAAGCAGTGGGAAGCCACGAAAGCAAGGAAGTGAAGTTATCAGATTTGCACTTTAGCAACCGCCCTGTAGCGGCCATGTGGAGGTCTTTAGGACTCAGGAGCTGATTCAGATATATCTCAGTAGTTGGGATCTTGCTGCTCAAAGAATCCTTTGCACAGCAATAGCATCAGCATCACCTGGGAGCATGTTAGAGATGCAGCCCTTTGGGTCTCACCCAGACCTACTATATCATTGTAACACAGTGCTCAGGTGATCTGTGTGCACCTCAGTGAATCTGAGAAACACTGATGTAGGATCTGTGCTGATGGCTCTTATGGTTTATGTAGCTCCCAAAGGAGGGATGACTTGACCTTCTTCTTCTCTCATACCACAGCCTTATAGACCATTCCATGATCTTTATAACTTCTTTTTGGAAAGGCTGATAGAATTTTTTAAAAAATTTAAATGTATTTCAATAATTCGAGAAATTCTACCTTTGTGAGTTATGGCTTTTCAAAACATCTTAAAGTCATGGACAATTGTTGTGTGAACAAGGAAGGCATACACAGAAGACTATCATATCTGTGCTGTTTTATTTCTTAAGCTTGGTGATAGGGTGCAGGTGTTCATCACAGTATGCCTTTTTTGTAGGTTGCAAAATTTTATAATTAAAATTCATAAAGTCTTGATTAAACATAATTTTTAGTAAACAACAAAAGGAAGAAAAACAAGAAAAACATCCTTTGTCCAAAATGGTACCTCGACTCACATTGAGGGTGGGAATAGAATCCAAATGGTGGTGATGGCACTTATGTAAATGGTGATAGTTACATTTGTCGAGTGCTCAATAAATACTATTCTGAGGGTACTTGCTATAAGCTAGACCCTATTTTAAGTGCTTTATATGTAACACATTTAATTCTACATAGCTCTTGGAGGTAAGACATTTTATTTGTCCCTATTTCATAGGGACACTTTTACAAATGAGGTGCTAAGATATGTATGAAGATGTCAGAGACTTGGTCCAGGGCCACAGAGATAGTTGAGGGACTAGGATTTAAACGCAGTTCACAGAAATCCCAGATCTAAGTTCTTTAACTATACTATAGTATCATGTACAGACTCTCCATATAAACACTTTGATAGAAGAAGACTGAGGATGAAGGATAATAATAAAATAAATGTATTCTTTATCCTTGGCCAGGTTGGAATAAAGCAAATGAATAATTTTAGCCTTGAAGTGACAATTCTTGTACTATTTGTTAGCTGCCCTGTGCATATCTGAACTTGGGGAAATGCAGTTTAGAGCTAGAAATGAATGATATTGAGAAAAATGTCCCCATTTGAATTTAAAATATGGGAAAAATCCACTACTTAAAAAAAGTCATATAAAATCTCTCTTGAAAATAACCACACCACAGACAATCCCCTTTTCCTGTGGCTGAACTCATAAGCATCCTTCAAAAGCAAGCTGCCATTCTGTTGTGAATCTGTTGACCATTTTCTGAGACGGGGACATTTTGCTGTCCTCCCCTCCACTTGTGATGAGAATAGCTAACACTTATTAAGCATGACTGTGTGCTGAGAATGTTGTAAGCAGTCCTCTTGGTGTGTCTCCTTCTAACAGCTTCATGAGATTGCTATCACTCTTCCCATTTTGCTGAGGAAGAAACTAATGGGTTTTGAGATTAGGTACTGACATCATGCAGTTAATAAGTGACAGAGCCAGAATTCAGAGCCTAGAAGTCTGATCCTGGAGCTGGGTCATTGTCACTGCAGAGCTATGACAATGTCACTTTGATTCAATTGTCTTTTCCTCCTCTTTTGACTCTTTCTAAATCCTTTATTTAAAGTATTAAGGGTGCTGGACACACTGGTGAACAAGCATACTACCTGCCCCTCAGATGCTTCCAGTCTAGGCAAAGGGAAAGGTCTTCCAAAAAGTGAGAGTAGTGTAAAGACAGACCTGGAAGGGAGAGAGACCACAGCTCTTCCCAGCCTGTCTGTGTGGCTAGAGCTTTGAGGCCACCCAAGAGAGAGAAAGTTGAGCCTTGCAGCTGGAAAGCTGAGAAGACTGCAGACTGTACAGCTTTTTTCAACCTTGCAAGGAGTTTGGATTTCAATTTTATGGTGAGGGTATGGGAACCACTTAGTGCTTTTAAAGAAATTTGGAAAATGTTGATTTAATGGTATTCATTTACATATTGACACTTAATTAGTGACTTTAAAGAAACTAATCAGCCAATGATTTCATGTTCAGAAATTCTCATTCAAGAAGTTTTTAAAGAATAACAATAAAAGACATGGGGGGGAACCAATAAAACGTAACACTTTTATTATTATTATTATTATTGTTATTATTATTATTATTAATTTTTATCTTAGAAGGAATTCACCAAAGGCTTCATATTATGCTATGGCATTTTTAATTATAAAAATAAGCAAATAAAATAACTTGCATCTGTCATTACCATGATATGTTTCATAACCTTTATATGCACATGGAGCTTAAAATGTAATTTAACAATAAATAATGACATATACCAGATATGCTCACTGTTTATTCCAGTACTCAGCCAAAAACCTAAATATCATTTAAATTATAAATACATAATGCAAATATAATGGCACAAAAATGTCTAAAGTGCAACCAAATCACAAGAGAATTATCATGCAAACTGGTCTAGGTCAGCCCCCGAATCAGTCTGTGCAGCAACACGAGACCAAGTTTTGGAAATTTAAGGGGGGGGGGGGATCAGAAGGGGGGGGGGGGGGGAAAAAGAAGCAAAAAACATGGAGCTTAAAATGTAATTTAACAATAAATAATGACATATACCAGATATGCTCACTGTTTATTCCAGTACTCAGCCAAAAACCTAAATATCATTTAAATTATAAATACATAATGCAAATATAATGGCACAAAAATGTCTAAAGTGCAACCAAATCACAAGAGAATTATCATGCAAACTGGTCTAGGTCAGCCCCCGAATCAGTCTGTGCAGCAACACGAGACCAAGTTTTGGAAATTTAAGGGGGGGGGGGGATCAGAAGGAGTGGGGTGGGGGAAAAAGAAGCAAAAAACTAGCAACATTGTGAGAACTGCTTCTTTCTGTATGTCTAGATATATGTATTGTAGATACATATATAAATATCACTGTGGGAGAAAAGGGAGGGTGCCACAGTTTGAAGAGGTCACTGAAAAAAAAAAAAAGAATCTACTGGATTGAAATAAGAGAGAATTTTGCAAGGAATACTCATGAAGTACTTGTTGCATTGGGGTCCTGGCTTAGTGGGTTTGCAAAATGGACACAACACACAAACTTGAATACCTTTTCCGGTTCAGAGAAGTCAGCCTTGCCTAGGGGTGGAAGGGCGGGGAGGGAGGGGAGACTCTAACTTAGAATATGGTCTACCTGATTTCCAAGAGGCTAAGGCAGTGTCCATATGTTTGCGGACCTGGAGATGGGACAGTTCTGAGTATAAAAATGCCCTTCACGATCGGATCTCAGCACGCTTAGAGGCTGTGGGGACGAAGGCAGCGATGCTTGTGCTGCTGCTGGGTCTGCTGCAATTGCTCTTGGTCCTTGAGCAGCACGTTACTGGTTTTAAAGGCTTTATGGTAAAGTTGTATTGCTTTTCATGTTTCTGGAGATGTGCCCTTCCTCCTCCCACCAGGATCCCTATCACTTGATTTGGTCAAATCTTGAGTTTAGCCTAGTGAGAGTCAAGCACCAATAGTTTCTACCCAACCTGCATCCAAACCCTTCTCCCTCTTCCTCTCTCGACATTGACCTTTGGTGGGCAGTGATGCTCATAAGGGACTGTTGGGTTCAAGGACAGTGACCCTGAGAAACTACTGTTGTTCATAGATAGGTTAATCATTTGGCTTCAGTGGTTGCCATCATGTAAACATCATGGCAGAAATGATCAAACTACCAGATCTTTTTCCCTCTTTCTTTCTTTTCTTTTTTTTTTTTTTTTTTTAATCGATCCTACGGAGATGGTCCAGCTGCCAGGACTACTTTGGCAGGCAGCGTGCTACAGGACAAAAATGTAAGAGGAGTCTATTAAGGCTGGACAGCCCAGGGTTATTTATACTACTTCAGCCCCAAGTCCCCCGGACTAAAGACCCAAAGGCTGATTGACTCATTCCTGATTGATTTAATGGAAAGTCTCCCACCCCGTCACCAGGCACTGATTAAGGTGGCAAGTGAAGAACCACACTTGCCTAGGTATAGTGGGCCTTATCACCTGTAAGTGGTCCAAGCGCAAAAAGATGCTCTTTCGGTTCCTGTAATTCCCAGCTGGATGTGATAGAGCTGTTTCAGGATAGGACTAAGTCAAGAGTAGCCTCTGGGTTGAGGTGGGCTGGGACATTAACATTTACCTGGGGTCCCTCAGATAAACCTGTTGGTGTTTCCTATCTTGCACAGGCCCATCTTAAGTTCTGATGTTGAGTTAAAACTACTTCTACCCCCATAGTTATAAAAAAGGCCACAAGGAGCATTTATGTGGATATCTGGAAGTGAGATAGTTATTCCATTCCCAGGAAAAGAAAAATAAAGCTAAGTTACAAAACTAAATCTATATGCAATAAAGTTATTATATACTGCTTTGTTTAAGCAGAGTCCTCTGGAATTTATGTACAGTACATTAGTTTTCAGCTATTTATATTCCACAGTTAGACCTTAAGATTCTCTGGTTTTTAAGACAATTGTTAAAGATACTTTTAAAGCTCTGAGCAGTTACAGTACATAAAGATGTTAGCTTTTTGTTTTCATTAGATGCAAGAAGATGCAGGCTCAGAGTCTGGTGGGAGGGCCAGGCTTGAGCAATTTGGTAAAAGTGTCAGAAAGGAAATCAGACATTGGAGGAACACGACCATAAGACACTAGCTCACTAGAGATCAAGAATTCAAACATGACATTCATATTCGTCCATGGCCAGCACAGATTCATAACACGAATTCCATTTAACATCTTTATGAGCATTTAAGACATGCATTTAAATAAAGTTTCTTATCTGCTAGCTCGACTAGGGCAACCATTCTAAAGGGCTCCACATCTTCAAATTACAATGGCTGAGGAATTACATGAATGTTTTGTGTCTGAGGGTGGTGTAAGGGGAGCTGGGGAAAGACATGATAGAGGAAGGTGATAAAAGAGGAAACTTTCTCCTGAGGAGAGGCAGAATGATCACACAGATTCTGTTTGTGGGAAGGCTGCCATTTGCAGAATGTTGGGATATTGATTACAGAAGCCTAGTTTCATGCAATTTTCTTTAAGGGGGATAGAAAATAGGGACTACTTTAAAAAATCAAACCAGGCACAGTACACTCAAAGTTGGTGTGTCAACACCCCTAAAATGATACTACTAGTTTGGTGAGATTGTGAATACCTCTCCCTGGTTACGCACTCTCATGGGAGGTACGTTTGGTGTGGGAGGGAGAGTCCCCCTCACCTCGGAGGTTCCTGAGGAGGACTTTCAGCTTCTGTGGCTCGCTGGTGCGCCTCCTGTTGAAGTCAGCTCGCGAGTGTGTTTGGGCACAGTGGTCCGTCTGCAGGATGTGGAATAGGCTGGCCATATTGGGGCCAATTTTCTCCATCAGGCTGTCTCTGATTGTGCCGACTGTGTCTTCATCACATTCCAGTAGGCTTCGGACAAGTCTGTTGTAGTATCTGCATTGGGAACAAGAGCCATGTGATGGTCATTCGGTGAGAGCAAGACCAAGACCCAAGCTGTCCCCTGGGCTCCACACAACTCCAGTCCTGAATGGCCAGACCATGCAAACATAAATTGGTCCTCAGGGGAAGGCGGTTTTGCTTCCTAACGCTTCTGCAGTGTCTTCTTAATGTGAGTGCGTATGTTCCCTGGGTTTACCACACCATGCAAGACAGGTCTGTCTTTATGTTTAGAGCTCAGGAAATTTAGATAATGCTTTGAATAATAGGCTGACTGCAATGTCTGAAATTTTTCAAAACGTAAAATCATAAAGCTAGATGGGACCATAGAGACCATTTAGTGACTAGTTCAACTCTCATTTTGTAGAGAAAAAACTAGGAGAGTGGAACTAACTTAAAATGAACTGAGTCCAACCCTGAACACACAATAATCACTGTGCATGGACTGACAGCTATTTTGATGTCTCTTTGCAATTGTCCTTTTTCCTGGTGGTGCATGTATGTGCAGGTGTGTGTGCATATGAGTGCATATTTTGAAAAAATGTCTAAGGCCCCTCTCTCCATGTCTCGTGCATTTTTCTTGGAAATCTAATTTCCTTATCTTACCCTCAGACAGCCTTGATAAAGGCTTTTGACTGACCCCATTTCTAATCTTCCTCCAAAGGTATATTGTAATTAGAAGGCCAAATACCAGGCAATGATGATATTTCAGCAGAAAGATTGGCGGTCCTGAAGCCTTCTCTCACTGTTCTATTTTTATTTTTATTTTCCTTTTTGTCTTTTTTCGTGTCCGGCAACGGATCGCAACCCTCAGTGTCGCGCCCGTACCGGACCGGGGACCGGCAACGGGATCGCAACCCTCGGTGTTGCCCCCGCACCTCGCTCAGCCAGTGAGCGGGAACCGGTCTGTATGTGGGATCTGAACCCTCAGCGGGAGCGCCACCGCGCTCCCAAGCGGCGCACTTGTTCTATTTTTATTTTTATTTTCCTTTTTGTCTTTTTTCGTGTCCGGCAACGGATCGCAACCCTCAGTGTCGCGCCCGTACCGGACCGGGGACCGGCAACGGGATCGCAACCCTCGGTGTTGCCCCCGCACCTCGCTCAGCCAGTGAGCGGGAACCGGTCTGTATGTGGGATCTGAACCCTCGGCAGGAGCGCCGCCGCGCTCCCAAGCGGCGCACTGTAGCAGTGCGCCACCGGGCCGGCCCTCTCTCACTGTTCTAGCTTGTGCTGGCCCCTTCTTGTTTGGATGTCTTGTAGGCACTTGGTGACCATCACCCAGGCCAGCATTTGATGGTTCCCTGCTGGTTTTGTTTCTCTCAGTAGACTGTAAACTTAGCGAAGGCAGGGTTTTTGTCCTTATTCTTTGTCTCCCCCATGCACTAGAGTCATCGAGCTATGTGGCCTGCTCATTTTAGATTTGTTGATTTATTTTTGTGGCCACTGAGGAAATGCAGTTTAAAAAATATAATTCTCTCCAATACGTCATGATTCCCAGAAGAAATATTATCTGTAGGTCTGCTAAATATTATGAAATACCTTGTGTTTGATATAAATTACCTTCCTCTTTGGGGCAAGTTCTTTAAACATCCCCAACAATGCAGCTCAGCATTATGGCTCAGGAAGAATAAAACTGTTGAATATTTATACCATAGAAGTTACTTGTCCTGTTCTTTGGGAAGACAGTTCAGGTATTTTCCAAATTAGGTTGGGATGCGTCTGCTCCATTTTGAGGTGGCACTTGTCAAAACCCATTAGCTCTGTGTTCACTAATAAGAGCCTCTCCCAATGACAGTGACCTGCAGCATTTATGTGGAGAGATCCTGTCCTTGGAGGAGCCTGAGGATCTTCCATGAAAGGAAAATCATTTATTTTGAACTCACCTCACAAAGCACAGGATCAAACATCTTTCCAGAATGGTTGAACCCCCCAGAGAGGTCCCCTCAAGGATATATGGTAAATAGGGTGGAACATGGGCAGTGAAACAGAGTTGTCACCCTTCTGCAGGAGGGAAGAATGAAGCTGGGTCCTGAAAGAGAATTGAGTGCCTGGGGGGCTGACACAGTGCTGGCTATCTCCCTCCCTCCAGGGAGAATTATATCCAGCTGTGGTTAAAATTGGGATTCTCTGGCATAGAGGAACATTTTCCAGCCCTTTGGAATGCTAAAGCACATGAGTCAAAGTAGATGTCATTTGGATGGAGAAATGAGGACAAAACTGGCTTTGGGGAAACAGAAAATAAAAAACTTTGTACCAACAGCTTCAGACATCTACATACCCACGTAGATCTCCAGGCATCTCCTAACTCTTGGGCTCTGCTAGGACTTAGGTCCCCTGGATTGCCGCATCTATTTCAGAGGGTGATTAGGTCCTAGAGGATAAGGTTTCTGGCCCCCACCCCTCCAATAAGGACTTTATAACTTGGAAGTTAACCCTTCTAGTTCTAGAAAGAACCATTTATGTCAGATGAGCCCCTAAATTGGTTGGAAAATATTATTTTTCCTTAGAAAGAAAAAGAAAGAATTGGAAGTTCTTTCTTAGAAAGGATTCAAAGCTCTTGTCTGGATGAAGAAGTCTAATACCCTGAAGAAAACGACGCTTCTGTAGCTAGCCCTGCAGCTGCAGGGCCAGCCACTTCTCCCTGACCCCACTTTGTTAAAATGAGAGCTCTTTTCTTCACTGTTGCTCCCTCTGCTAGCCCAGATAGGACACTTGATCTTGGTGCTTCTTGATGATGACCTCTGCCAGTCTGACTGCTGTGACTGATTCCCCACCACCCCAAATCTATGTTAACTCAATAAGGGCAAGCTAAGAGAGCTCCTTAGGGTGTAAAAGTCTGTGGCTCCGTCAGTAGCTCCTCAAAAGCTGGGAAACTTGTCAGGCTGTCTTGATGTCAACAGAGTTCATCAGTACAAGCAACAGGCTAACCCTGTGCCTCTCCATTAAAGATCGAAATATGGCATTTACCTCTGGGATTGTTCTGGTTAATGAGACAGATCTGTCCTGTAAGTCACGAAGTGAGAGAGATTATTTAAGAGATTGTGTCTCCAGCAAAAGTTGACTTAGCAATTGTCACATATTTATGGAACACCTTCCTGTGTCCTACTGTTACTATACCTGATGGTAAAATGTGCCCTCTATTTTAGGAGAAAATGCACACAAATTTAATTGCTGACCACCACATATATTCAATTGCGATTGGTATTCTATTTTTGGATTGTGGATATCTCCTGCAGGTTTTGCTGGCTGCCATTTTTGAAGTAGAAATCAAATAGCTTGGCTCAAGGCCACTGAGTTCTACTCCTAGGACTGTTATTCACAAGCTGTGTGATCTTCAGCAGGTCACTGCTCTCTCCGAGCCTTTGTTCTTTAATCACTGAAATGAGGCGTTTAGTCTAGATAACCTCTGCAGTCATCTCCAGCTATAACATTCTGTGTTTCTAGGAATCCAATACATATTTTCCTTCTCAATTTAACAAAAAATAGTGCATCTCTGCTTGAGGCCCCTCCTTTGTTGGAGGAGTTGGGACTATTTAAGATGCTTTATCTTTATGGGGGGTAGAGGAGATATGCTGCAAACAATCAGTGGGCCAAGTGTTCTGATCACGCAGCCTGAGAGGACCTTTTTAAGCATGTTTCTTTCTTCCAGTTTGAAAATTCCATCCTTGACTTTTTTTTTCTTGGTAAAAAATAAGATCAGATATTCTCCATAGCTACTGTTTCAGCCATGCTTACCCAAATACACACATACTGCCTAGGAACGTTCTGTGTGAGTGTTTATAAATAGTCCTTTGTTTCCCTTGATCAATATTATTCTTCTGTTTCCTGTTCCCTATCCATGCCCTAGAGAGTTGGAAGCTTTGTCAGCTTTCCCACTCTGGATCTGGATTGGTCTAATTGGTTCCCAAGCCTCACACTGCCCTGCCAGCCTCATCAATTTGGCCTGCTTGAAATTTTGCATGGGTGAAAGCACAGTTTGCGAATTCAGCCAGGGGGACACTCCAGCTACCTTCCTTTGCTGGGTGCATTTCTGCATGGAAAACTCCCTGTTCTGGCTCCTGGTCCATTCACAGGCTCCTGGATATTCCCAGCCCTAAATCTCATGCTAGATAAGTCACAGGAAGGTGGAATGAACCTGTAACTACTTCCTTTTGCAATTCTGTGCCAATTGGCACCAACTTAATGTGTGTCTATGGTGAGATAGAGGCTGGGAAAGCAGGATGTTTCTGGAGGGTGAGGAGCTTAAATAGAGCAAGTCAGGCCCAGCATGGAACCGGAAACCTCTATAGTCCTGAACAGGAATAATCCAAGCCAGTTAAAGTGAAATACTTGGGGAAAGGTAAGCATTGCCTGGAAGATTCTGGTCTTCAAGGGCTGGCTGTTTTTTCCCCTGCTGACCTTTCATAATAATTCTGAGTCCCCTAAGAAAAAAAAAATGGAGATTAGAAGGCTTTCTTTGTGGCCATTTTCTAAAGGTGTTAGAAATAAGGCATCTATTAAAAAAAATAATGGTGTGGTTAAAAACTCTTTTCACTAGTGTCTTCTTAGATAAGTTGGGATCTCCAGTCTAGTATTTGTGCCGTTCTTTGTATAAGACCTCTCCCTTCATAATGGAAGATGCCACGTCAGTTGAAATAGGGAGATTAGTATTGCCTCAGTTAGTGTTGGTTACATACCATAGTATAGATCATGACTTGTCACTGGACCTAAACTTGCAAAAATGGCTTTGCTAACACACCCCTCCCCCCACCCCAACTACCACACAAACACATACTTTGTCCCTAGCTCCTGCATGATTAAAATTTTTTCATTTCTTTTTTTTTTTTAAGTGAAGGGAGTTTCCAACAATTAACCAAGTATGTGCCCTGAACTCCTGTCCCACCCCCCACCCCCCACCCCCGCATGCAACAAGAATCTTCCTAGGAGAATTATGAAACCAAGGTCGATATACAAAGACAGGCTATTTGGGAGAAATGGTGAATTTGATTATCCTGTTATGAGAAAATCAGTTAGAACCCCATGACAGAGTCACTTCCAAGGACCAGACAATTGATTTTTATAAATTGACTTGCAGTTCTGAAGGGCACTAACCTGTAGTTTAGAGTGAATCAGAAATTTTACAGTTTTTATGTTAGGGACCTTAAACTTTCCCTAAAGATGAGCTACTTTTCTGGTCTTCCAGTTGCATATATGTACATGACCAAATCACTCATAAACCCCAGAAGGACTTGTCTGTTGCCACCATGAGAAGAAAGGTGGCCCCACCTGGCTAGTATGCTAGTCAGATAAATCTGTGATAACTCTCAGGTGGGCAGAGTAACATGCACAGGACTGATTTCTGTGAATCTGTACAGATTTGGCTGGAGAGTCAAAGAAACACAGGGCTTTAGGACTGGGAGTCAGGTTTTAGGCTGAGGGCATCACAGTAGGCTAATCTTGACTAACCTTGACTAGCTGCCCTGCCCTGACCATACTTCCGTGCTAGCGCATTGGCATCTATCAGTTTTTGCTGAGAACGTTGGGAGGCCATGCACATGGAATGAGGATGCAAGCTCTCTCATGTATTATAAAGACATGAGACTTTTATAAGGCTCCTAGCTGGTAAAGACAGTGAGCCCAGGCACAGAAAGGCATGCTGCTCAGTGGCTTTGGGTCACGTTAGAATACTAAGATGAGAATGTGATCTGGGCAGTCACCAAATCTTAAACTAGAGGAATGGGATACCATAAGGCATGGAAAGGAACATGGGAATGGTCCAGTACAGCCATTTCTTTTTTCACAAAGAAAATCTTTGTCCCAGGGAAGTGAGATGGCTTATTCTTGGCTACCCATTGGAATATCTGACTGAGTTTGGGACTGATATGAAATGCACACAGATTTAAAAGTCTGAATTATGACATTTGACCAGGTTTTCTTTTTTTTTTATCATGGCCAATTATACTGTTGCATAGTCATGGTTTCAACCTGATGTCTCAAAAGCTTGTTTCCAGAAACTTCATCATTTCCTCCAGGTTTATGGCAAGAAAGGAACAATGAAAATGCACCCAGGGATGCTGCAGATGAAGGTTTCTATTAGCTGCATGGAAAGACTTTCCTATAACAGTGGGGAAAAAAAATCCAGGCTGCTTAAACTGTCACAACCAATCACAAACATATTTTTTCCTGCAAAAGCTGGGAAGACTGCAAGCTAAAATAAGAGCATGACTGTGGCAATTTAACCCTCCTTCCCAGTCTGGCTCTGCCAGCCAAGTCCCCCCTTCCTCTCCCCACATTGCAAAGAAGTGGACTCAGTTCAGACCTGTTGGAGAAGTGATTAGGCAGCTGGACAACTTCAGTGATAGCTTCGGGGTTCTGCTTAGCGATGCTGCACACGTTCAGTTTGCTGTAACACTCCTCCTGCACCTCTGCAATCATCCTCTGGAAGGTGGAACACCTCCGAATGGCGAGGAAGACCTTGGAGGTGACCCCGTTGGCAATGCACTTTAAGCTCTCTTTGACAAATGCTTTTCCCTGCCAGGGAGGATAGGAGGGAAAGCTTGAGCTTGATGTGACAAAAGAAGCTGGTACATATGACACATACGACACTGGGGCTTGCCCTGGCACCATGTCATGGCCACTGCATATCCTTGCAATGAGAAGATTTTATACCGTGGCCGAGGATTCAAAAGAAAAAAGTCCTTACTCCCTTAGTCTACCTTGAGAATTGAGCTCCACAGAAATGAAATGAGATGAGAAAAAAAAAGGAGATGAACCATAATCAGCCACTCTGAAGCTTGAAAAATAGTCACAATCTAGCTTTATATTCTTTAGACTGAGACTTTGCAAATTCAAATCACAAGCTAGTGAGCTAGGGCAAACAGGGAGAAGAACTCTTTATTAGGAGAACATTATTATTTCCTTTCCAAGAGAAAAGCATTTCTGCTCATCACCCCTCCCCTTACAAGACAGCTTTTGTCGGCTCCCTACAATCATGCATTAGGGTGGGTGGGGAGTGTCATACACAGAATCTATTTCCTGGCCAAAAAGTGTGTGTGTGTGTGTGTGTGTGTACACACATGTTGAAGTGGGAATTTAGGGAGGAAGACTGAGAATCAGGTCTGGTTCCCTACAAGACTGGTTCCTAAGAACAATAGTCTAACTCACGGTTAAAGACAAGCAGCCAGCGGGAGCAGAGGTCAAGGTCTTATTACCTGAGTGTCAAACTTAGCAGCGCTGTACAAGAAGGATTTACAGATGTCGTACATCCCATCTGTGTCACAGGTGGAGTTTTCCAGGCATGCAAAAGCCCCACAGCCAACCTGCAGAGCACTGTTGAGGCAGCGAACCACTTCAGCTGGAAGACACAAATCCATCCAATCTGGGTCAAACAGTGAGGTGGCTGGGTGAGATCAAGTGGGTGCAGGGAAAAATTCAAGGTCAAGGGGTCAGAAGAACGTATCCTAGAAGTCTGCAATGAGGGGCAATAGGTAAACCCATTTGAAGAGGGGTGGGGTGACAAACGGGGTGGGGATAGACAAGCCCCTTTTACTTGTAAGAGCCAGAGCACGTGAAGGAGAAGGAGCTCTCTCTCTCTCTGAGACACATTCTCCAGGTCTCACCATTGCATACATTTCTGGTGTCTGAAGAAGTCAGGTTGGAGTCTGTGGAACACACAGCACCTTTAAGCATCTCTAGAGAATCAGAGGTCATTGCTCTGCACTCAGAAGGATGGGAAGGCAGAAGGCAATGGCTGGTTGTCAGGGTCAGGAGGTGGGAGGGCTGGGAATCCATCTGGTTTCCAAAAAATGCACTCCAGAATAAAAAGCATGGGATTTTAGTCTAAACGGAGAGAAGAATTTGCCAAGAATCCATTTGGAGTACCTTCTGATTTGGGGCTTTAAACTTACCTTCATATTGGCAGAAAGGAATCTAATCCATTCATGTTTCATTCCACCCCCCACTATAGATAAGACAGTGCTTAGAGGTATGTGTAATCTCTCATATTAAAAGCCTTTAAAAAAAAAAAAGAAAGAAACACAGGTGTGAAATAACAAGGCCAAAGCACCCCTTGTGCAAGACTGGAAGAAAACCGCAAAGAACTTGCATGAGGCTTTCTACATTCTGGATAAGATCTCCCATAAAAGTAATTTCTCTCCCACAGAAGGGGGGTGTTCTGGCAGGCAGCTCGACAAGAAATGATCTGCAGCCTTCATGCCATAGGATTCTCCTCTGAGATCAAAAGCACGGTTTGGTTAGGCTTCCCCACCCCCTCCCGCCACCCGCAGCCTTGGGATGTTACAAGTCATTTCCCTAATTATATATTTCCACGGGTTCAAATTATAACTTTGCTTTAAGCAGTTTTAATATGCATTAGGGCTGCTATTGTTTTAGGCAAGCTCGAATTGTGAATCACTGCATCTCTATAGCAACTAAGTACAAAGGGAAGTGGAGCAGAGGCCCTCCTCTCGACAGGGACCTGTGCTTGTCGGAGGGGAGTGTCGTCTGCAGCATTTTGACACCTGCGATCCCATCTTTGCTGGCAGTGGGGGAGAGAGGGCAGTAATGGAAGAGGAGCAAGGCTGGCAGGAGAAGTCCAGAGGCAGAGGTGTCACTGCGGGCTTCCTAACTGACTCTTTCCCTCCAGAGGCCGAGATAATACACAATGAACTGCTCCAGGAGTCAGGACAAAAGTGAGACCTTCCCCTTGGAGAAACAGCTGCTACATTTCACAAATGTTCTTTTTTCAGGGAATTCTCTGCATGGGAGACTGAATGGGGCCTGAGAGCCGGGAGGGAGAGAAGCAGCAGTTTTGGGTGTGGGGTGTGTAGGGTTTTCTCTGAATCCACCCTGGATTTGTCAGACTTCAGGGCTATGGTTCTGAAAATCAGGCTAAAGAGGTAGCTTTTCTGTGTGTTCTCTGGGGAGGCAGGGAAGTCAAGTTACAGGGTCTTAAGAGGGTAGGAAAAAGGACAGCATCAGACAAGCCATGTCTCACCTTAAGATCAGCTTCTGCAAAGTATAGAGAGCGCTTTGAAGCATGCCAACATTCAAGCCTTTCCCCGCCCCTCCCCTCCCCCCCACCCCCCCCAAGAGGGTACGTGCCAGATTTCAGGCAATCAGGCTAGGCTTATGCAATGGAATACCCTCAGCAGAGCGTCCAGCTTCTTCGTTAGTTGCATGCAATTTATTAAACAAAGGAGCTCCACTTCCTAAGGCTATTGGATTACACTGGCAGTTTATTGCCATCAGGCATGAAGCACATCTATTATCAAGATCAGCCTTCACAGACACAGTTGCAAAAGCGAGAGGCAAATGAGGACAGCTCTTTGGGGGGGAGAAACCGGTCCTGGGTTTGCCGCTTACCTGAGTTCTGAGCTGCCACCCGGGATTTCCTGGGGCTCACAGAGTCATTCTGCTCCGCCTCATGGGTTGCGGAAGCACTGATCACCAGCACCACCAACACTGCTGAGTTTTGGAGCATTCTCTGAGAAGTTTCCGCTAAGTTGTTGGCTTTTTTTTTTTTTTTTTTTTTTCCTCCCCCCTTTCCCCTTTCCCTCTCCCGGCTTGAGTGAAGATGTGGATCTGGATATACTGAACGCTTAGGTGAGGATTTGATGAGGATTTTTTTTTGTTGTTGCTGCTGATGCTGCTTCTGCGGACGCTGCTGCTGCTGCTGCAGTCGCTGCTTCTTGCACCTCTGGCTTTTGCAAATTGGGGGCCCAAGAGCTGCACCCAGGGATTTTATAGCCGTTCTTATCGGTCCTCAGGATCAGGGACCAATCAGGTCCCTCAACTGGTCTGGCGAGCCAATAGGAGGACACGCTAAGTCAGCTGGAGCTTTTTGACTTCTTAGAAATATTTTCCAGCAAATTAAAAGTACCTGCTGCCAATGTTTTATATGTGTGTGTGGTTGTGTGTGCAGAGATGTGTTAAAAAGCTATTTTCATGGAATTAAGGGATCACTTTGTATTGATCGAGCTGAAGGAAAATCAAATGAAAATCCCTCTGAGGTGCTTTTTGAAATCTATTCTTTTTTTTTTTTTTAAATGAGCTATTTGGGAGAAATGGGGAGAATGAGTAGCATGCATAAGGTGGGTGGGTGTGATCTCTTTGAACTGGAATTTAACCTAATTGCAGCAGTTTTCCTCTAGTTTTAGCAGCACATTCTCTGATCTCTGTGTTGTAAGCTGCATATTCAACATCTCCACATCCTCTCGGTGTGCACATGTTCATGGGTCTATGTGTATTTTTGTGGTACGTAGGCATCCTGCATTCTCACTCACATATATGAGCCCTGGGGGAGGGATGCGTGTGAGTGGAAGAGCCTCGGTGGGCTGAGACAGGAGAGCTCCGAGCTATGGCCCCAGCTCCCCTATTTATTGATCACCTCTGTGACCCTGGTGAAGTCCTTGTTCTGCCTCTGTTTTCAAATCTGTAATATGCCAAAGTTGGACGCTGGCATTCTTTACATCTCTAAAACGATGTGATTTTCTAGTCACACAAATTAACCTTGACTCCATCTTTTCAGTCACTAGCAGAATTGCAAACTCCAGGAGTGTTAGTTACCATAGGTACACACATGCAAACCTACATACACCACCCTCAACAGGGAGACGTCGTGAATGCCTGAAAATTAATAAACTGTGTATTTAAGCTCATCAACTTCATAATCCCGTTGAAACAACAGGGGGCCAAAACAAGATTAAATCTGCTGGGCAAACCAGTTCATTTCTTGGGGATTGGGGGACATGAAGGGGGACAGGACTGAGGAGAAGGTGTAGGGAAAACCCAAAATGTGTAGGAGAGAAGACTGATAAGCTGTATACTTAATGGCAGAATTACAGTGGAATCACAAGTCATGCTTAGGATAGACCTTATATTTTCTTATAAGTGGGCTGTAGACAACACTGAGGCTTGTCCCTAACTTGTGAAGGAGGTTTATGATCCAGGAGAGGACTTCTCAGAGTAGGAAGGTGGTCATTAAGGGCTGGGGTGAGGTGATGGGACTAAACAATAAAACCTTAAACAATTTCGAGGAGGTAAATGAGAAAGGGTCATTAGTGATTCATACAGACTTGGGCAAGATGATCTTACAAAGAAACGGAGCCAGTGGCTTCAGTTTAAATCCTCAAACCTTCAAACAGACGTTGAAAGAAGAGTGCCAACTCTATTAACCACAAACCAAACCAAAAATCAGCCCTATATGTGGTGGATGAGTGGGTTTACTGAGTGATTATATCACATCCCTTGCAGAACAGGATTGTTTGGAAAGCATAAATGTTTGGTAGAAAAAGAGACGGAGGGAATAAAAGGTGAAGGAAATATCTAAACGAAAGGAAGGGAATTTTCAGATTTCCATTAAGTAATAAGTACATTTCAACTTATATTAACTGACAGTATTGATATATCTTGAATACCTTCTGGGATGAGTGGGGGAGGGTAAAGGCGAAGAGATACAGAAGGAGGTAAATTAATGCTTCTGTCCTTATAGTGCTTGCAGTCAAGTTGGGGAGACGGCCAGCCTCAGCCTTACTTCCTACAGGTTCCCGGTGTCAGGTCCTCGCTTGGTAAGAAAGAGGTGCGGTTAGCATTGGCTAGAGATGCAGGGAAGGATTTACAGGAGGCTCTTCAAGGAAAGATCAGCAGGGAAAAGATAGGAATCACTGTCATTGCTTTTTAAGAATTTAGGAAAAAGCTACTTTATTTTATTTTTTATAAAATTTGTATTCTGGAAATCTCCGAGTTTGTTCCTATTGCTATAGGCAGGAGAGGTAGATGAATGGTGATGCAATTCAGTCACTCAGTGATCTCTTCCAGAAAGGAAACAAAAGGACACATGCATATTTTTCCTGAAGGGCTTGACTTCTGTTCCTCAGCATTCTCTACCTCCTTAGCCATTTTTTATTGTTAAAGGCACTGTTTATTTCTCTTGCTGGACTGCCCTGTGTTGGTCTACTGGTCTGGTAGGATGATGGTTAACGTCCCACCATCCACATACTTTTTCCATCTCTCTGATGCTATCACTAGAACAAGATGTCCTACAAGTATCAGGATGTGCTTTGAGTTTTTTTCCAGATGTTGTTCCTCCTTCTTTGCTTGCTTACCATCACATGCCTGCAGGTTCACTGCTGGGTGTGCCAAGTGTTTCCCAATGGCAGGTAAGCTGTCATTTGAAGTGCAACAGAGGTCAGCCTCATTGGTTTGGATATAACTGGTGTGCAGTGTCAATACATTTGAGAACATCAAGGGACGGAGTTGAAGTCTGAGTGGAAATGACCAATGTAAAGTTTCTCCCCAGGAGTCTACGGTTTCAGGAGGGCTGAGTGTCAGTCGTGATGTTATTGTCTTGGACTTTGATAAAGCAATGACAGAAGAGTCTGGGGAACTCAGGAGGTGATGTCTGGATCTGCTGTAACTTCTCCTAGGGGTCTCAGAGAATATGAGGCAGTTCAAATATCAAATTTCATTGTTTGGATTTTATCCTGCAAGCAACAGGGTGTCATTAAGTTTCTTGAGTAGGAATTGTTGAATGATGTATTGAAATTAGTGTTTGGGGAAAATCTCATCATACCTGTGATGCTTTGAAGGAGAAGAATAGTGGCTATATGACTAGTTAGTAGTATCCGACTGTGTTGATGAAGTTCTGGACCACAATGGTGGCAGTGAGAAAGGAAGAAAGATAAATACGAGAGATATTTTAAATAAGATGGAAATTATCAGTTGACCTAAGGACTTTCTTGGGGGCAACAACCCTTCATCCACTTTAGTGACAATGGAGATAATGTACAACAGGACTTTTCTTTTCCCGTATTTTGGTTATGGTTTTTAATTGACAGGATGACTGAGTATCTCTGACAGGCAGGCACTTTCTGGTCTTCTATTAAGGCAGTAGAGTTCCCTAACAAAGGGACTTCACTGTTCTTAGGTAGTTGAGGAACCTTCGAGAGCCTGGCTTTGAGAATTAGAGGTACTCCCAGGTGCAGTGGGTGGGAGGGGAGGGGACCCTTTCTCATTGCCCCAGAGCAGGGAAAGTGCTAAGAAGTGGGTGGGAGAATCTGCCAACACCTAAGGCTGGGTGAGGATGCTCTCTGGCTGTGCCCGTGCACAGCTGGCATGAGTTCAGTGAGAAGATTAAGCCAAAAATCTCTGGGGCTTTGTTGGATTTGGCTAGCTTAAAGCTAAGTAGTGAACAGCTCTCTGCCATTTTGGTAAGAGAAGCCCAAGAACGTGATTTTTTGGTAAATGTTCTTTTTGTTGTAACAGAATACAAGACCCACCAAGGTCGGTCTAACTTAGTGACCAAGGTCGAACCAATTTTCCTTGGGAATTCTGGGCCTGTGTTTTTTTTTTTTTTTGTTAGACTGTTGGGCTGTTGAGTCATGCCTTCCTAACCTCAAGACTAAGGAGGAGGAGAAGGAAAAGGAGGAAAATGAGGGGTTAATATTTTTTTTAATCCTTCTATCAAGACACCAGATTTTCTGTGTGGATGATCCCCAGTTTTTGAGTGAATCCGTGCCTCTTATATGTCTTTGATTGCTTTAAACTCCACCAAAGGAAAAAAGGGAGAAACTATATTGAGAACTCCTCCCCTCCCCCCACTGGTTTATGGAGGGCTACTGTGTGCCTAGCACCAGCCCAGGTGGGGTAGGGAATGCACAGACATGGTTGACCTTTTCCTTTGCTCCGTGGATTCCCAAGCTAGTTCTGAAATCATAATGTTGTATTTGAGGAAGAATATCTGTTTTCTGGAAATATAATACAGCAAGCAGGTTGGAATAGAGTTTATGGTTTGGATTGAATTAACATTTACTGGGTGCCTATCTACTCTATGCCAGGCATTACTGCACATGCTTCTTATCTGTGAGAAAAGAACCAGTTTCTTCCCTTCCCAAGGGAGGAGCCCAGGACCTGAAAAGAAGAGCTAACCCACAGTCATAGAGTGGATGGTGAAAAAATCCCCTGAGATTTGCTTATTATAGAAGTAGCTCTGGGTGCTTTATTTGTATGACCACTGCAGTGGTCGACAGAGTATGCGTGCTTGCAGCACTGCCCCTCAGGGTGCGGGGTGCGGGGGCAGGAAGAAAAAATAGACGGATTGACCTAACATGCTTAAACCAGAACAGGACAGTTGAAATTAGCCTCCATTCCTGTTCACATCTGCTTTTCATTCTTTCAAGTATAAGTTACGATGTCACTTTATATCAGGGAGGACAAATTCATTAACTCAGGGCAGCCTGTAAATCTTCAGAGTTTCCACGCATGGCTCCTGAAGTAAGTATGGAGAGGATTTGTGTGTCATCAAATCTGTCCTTTAAAATAGCTCTTTGGAAGACACGAGATGATATTACTCAGTCGAGACACACGAGGGCGCTCGAACCACCCAACCAACAATGAGGAGCTTTTTCCTTTAAATTAAAAAAAAAAAAAAAAAGTTGTGAATCTATGTTTGATTGGCCATTGTCTTATAACATTGGGATGCTTTTTAGGGGGATAACACATGTTTGTGGTCTGGGGCCGTCACCCTTAGACAGTGAGCTTGTAGACTAGTATGGTCCTACATTTTTGAAAGTTTTGCAATATATACCATTCTATCTACTATTCTATTATTGCTTAATAGGGGAATAGGTTACAGACAAGTTTCTTAACTGTCCTGCCCTTCTCCTAAGGGGGAATAATATCTG